AGAGAGAGCTGAGTTTATAATGTATTTGTTATTATGTAATATCAGGTGCGAGAAAAGATATCTCGGGACACCCAGAAGCTAATCCAAGTCCACTACGGGACCGGCAACACGAACGCCACCGAAATGCTTGTCGACCGCATTCAGCGTGACTTCGAGTGCTGCGGGTCTGCGGGACCGACCGATTGGGTGAACGCCGGCTATAATAAGGCGAACAAAAGTCACGGCAACTCATTGGAGAGAGGCATCGGTGCGACCGAAATCGGGCATCACTTGCGAATCCCACATTCCTGTTGCTTACAGCCCTCGTCCTCCGAGTGCGAGAGGGACACGAAGAGCATTAGAGACACGCGAGACATCGACACCATGAAGACAATCTACCAAACGGGATGTCTCACTAAGTTTGAGACATTCATTCAAGAGAAATGGCAGTGGATTCTCATAACGGGTGGTGCGCTCATCGGCGTCCAGTTGTTTGCGCTGATCGTCGCCTGTGTCTTGTGTTGTGCTATATCTCGTGTCGGAGATAAGTAACGGTACTCTAAGTTATGGTTTAGTTTCTCCTTATATTTATCGGTTTTCGCAACTATTTTCTATTTATATTTAATTGATTTCACGACATAAAGACAATTTCTATACATATAATGAGTGTCTCTTAAAAACAATGAAAACCTTTTTTGTTTTTACGAAATGAAGGAACAAATATACAAAACAATGTGAAGATGAGTTCAATTATAGATTGAATGTCAGTAAGGATTAGTTAATTTAAAAAAACAGTTGTCTTATTGTATGCGAGAATACAATTCCTGCCAAACATTGCTTAAAACTTATATCAAAAACACAAACAAATTGACAACACTTTTGCATAAAATCGCAGATTTTTTGTACAAAATATTATTATAAATATAAAATAAGAAGGAACTGAAACAAAAATTTTGTTATTATTGTAATTAATAGTAAATTACTAAACATTACATAAGAGCGCAACTATTAGTTTACTTCACATTTCATCTCAAACTCATTGTACGACAAACTCATCCCTCAAACTATCAAACAAAACACACAAAAAGCAAATTGAATTAATGAGCTATTTATTGAACGGACGAACAATATAACTGTGTATTTCTATAAACAATTATATAATATTAGCGCATAATTATAAATCATTGGATATTATAGTCGGAGCTAAACATACTTCTCTGTACACATGCTTTCAATTGGGACTCAAATTAATTGAAGTACCGTGATTATTTTTGAGTAAAGTTTTTACTGTAAAGTTGTGACTGCAAAATATATCCATGCATTTATAATATTTTCGAAATGAGACTTATTGAAATATGAATACTCGATAAATATATGATACTGGTATTTTTCTCATTTTGAATTTGTCAATTATTTATTCAATGCCACAATTTTAACGATTCTTTCATCACAATTGTGTTAAAGACATCTCTCATTCAAAGTTTAGTTTTATTTGCGTGAATAATGTTTAAAAAGATTTTTTGTTTTGTAAATTATATACAATTTATTGAAAGTATCATCACTTTCGGTATAAAATAGATGGTTAGCAAAGTCTTATTGAAATTTGTTAACAAATCACTTGTTTTACTGTGAAATAATTTGTTTGTGTGTTAATTGTGTGCAAAATTTAATACAGTTTTTCTCAATTAATTCTGTGACTCTGTAACTCTCTATTTGTCTTTAATCAATAGTGAATTGAATTTCAATTAACTCATAATTATTTTCAAATTTAATCTCAAAATCTTTTAATATATCAAATATTTTCTCAATTTACTCGCGAAAAACAATTGCATAATATTTGATTAAATGCTAAGAATTTAACAAAGATTTTGTGCATAAATTGAGTTTAAATACTGCTATGAAATACAGTACATAATAATTTGTATGATTAAAAATGTTTTTGGAAATCTATTCATATGGAAAACAAAAGTATGTCTCGAATTGTACTGATCTTTACTATAATATTGTTGTATTTAATAATATGTGGTTTTCGATACATAAAACATAATTATATTTAAATGTGATATTTAAATGTTACCAAAACAACTATTATTGATATAATTATTTCGAGTAAATCTCTTATAAATTTACAAAACATTCTCCTTTTCTCTCTTTTATATAACAATTAAATGACAGTAAATATGGATATATTATATTAATATAAATGAATGGCAACCGATTGTAGTGTTTATGGGCTGAACTCATTTTTTGTTGTCTTACCTATCGATTGATTTTCTCTATTAATTATTCAATCTTTCATTCAAAAGCTCAACACAAACCTATTGATTGACTGTATTTATTGAAACATAATCTCAGACCAAATCGATTCATTGTATTGTAATCTTGAAAATTGTTATTTAAGATAATTCTAATTATTTAACTAAAAGTGCTTCTAATTTAACGATTAGTTCCAGTAATTTGTTTCATTAATTCAATTAATATAATTGTAATTAGCATTTAGTTTTGATGCTTCAGAATATTTTGTATTTTATAACATAAATGAATAATTTATTATTATTTGACACAAGAATGTGAAGGTTTTGTTTGAACGGAAATAATCCCCGAGAATTCATTGAATTCATTACATAATGTTATTTTAATATTAAATATAATTTAATTGAAATAAAATTTGCAAATAATAATAAAAATAATTCAATTTTATTTACCATTTATTCATTTTCACAAATTATCATAATTTGCGATAAACACTCATACAGTACTGTATCAATACTTTATTCGTGAATGAGTTGCAAAACAAATAACATTTGAAAAATTCAATTTGTTTTCATAATAATTCAGATATTATGAGTTTTACCGTAAAATAAAAACAATTCATTATTAAATTAAATACAGTATATACATCAAATGGTAACATTTTTTAGAAATTTAGAAACAAAATGGATTTAATGCGAGAATTGCGTTACTTGAATGCAAACGTGATTTTAAGTTTACTTGATGAATGAATGTATAGTCGAGTGAAGTATTAATATAATACACAAAACAATCTGAATATCCGATGAATAAACTAATAATTATACTCAAAATTACTACCAATAGATTGAGGGTTAATTTTACAACAAACTCACAAAATATTGTTTAATTAAGCAGTGAAACAAAATTAGAAATTTGTTTGTCTAATAAATTACGAACAAATACTTATAATGAACTCAAATTTCAAAAGATATTCAATTGAAATGATATGAAGGGATGGAGTGAGCGGTTCAGCTGTTGATCACTTGATTGATTTCCCGCATCAGCTCGTCGTCGTCATCGTCATCGCAATCGATGGCATCATTTGAGCCCAAATTATTGGTTGAATCGTCGCCCAAGAAGTCATCGAAATCGTCCAAATCTGCATCAATTGATTTGATTCGTTGTTTTCCAGTCAAATGAGTCGATGAATCGTCATTCGCGTCAATCATATCACTTGTACTCAAAGGCTGTCCACTATTTGTGACTACATTTTCATTCAAATTATCGTTCGGTTGACTTCTCTTCAGCTGAGTCTTCACTGAACTCGTGTCCACTGCGGGACCTACTCTTCTGATCTTAACCACCGATTTGTTGGATTCAGTGGACGTTCTCTTCTCACCCCTGGGCTCCTGATTCTCCTTCAGACCATTCAGTTGTTCACAGTTAGTGTCCGCCCTCTGAGACATCTCGAGGCGTTCGCGTCTGATTTGGTCCAAAGTCTTAACACCAAAATCTTGCGATGGAATCGATGAAGGGTTTGAACTGGAAATCGATGACTTAGTCGTGTCGTCAGCCAATTGACGTCTAATTCTCACTCTTAAGTCTTTGTTTGTCTTCAACTGTGCTCTTTGTGGTGATATTTGGGACTCATTTTTGCCAAAACACTGATTGCTATCATTGATGGGCATGTCTTCGGACTCACTGTTAAACACTTTCTCCATTCGGATCTGTTCTAAGGACTTGACCCCAAAACTGCTATTATAGCTGTTGGACACCATTTTGTCTGAATTGGTGCCACTCGTGAAGACATTGTCGGTGTCGGTGCTCTCATAATCGGACTCTTCGTCGCCGTCATTGAGTGATATAGAGATCGGTTCGATAGTTATGTTGTGATTAGTGGTCGAGTCGTTCACCGAAGACACCGATTGACACAAATAGTCGGAATCGTCGAAGAGTTTCATTTGGGAGACGTCTTCGCCCCGTTTGGCGCCATTCACTCCACTGGGAGTGCCGTTTGGGTTATCATTACAGTTGCCATCACTCATGGCGTCCATTGAAGCGTTGGCCGCAGCGACGGGCCGTATAATGGCGTCACCGGACGACTGGTCCTCATCTAAGGCCAGACTCCTTGGCTTCTTGTGGAGGAAAACGCAGTGAGGTTTACGACAACCCGTGGGCTGTGTTTCAAACCAACACTGAATGGACGAGCGATTGATCCGCGACTCCATGTGTCGGTACTTACAGACTCCAGGTCTGAAGCACTTGCCATTCTGCCAGTGCGTACACGTGACCTCTGACCCCAACGCCAACTCGCAGTGACGGTACGGACAGTCGTCCCCCTAAGACATCAACAAAACACATCAATTGGTGTTCAACTCAGTGGCCATTCAGTGTAGTCATAGTTCAGACTTAGAGTCTTATAGTGAAAAGTATGGACACAATGGTCTCATGATAGGATAATTGAGTGGCAGATGTGTGGTGTCTAATGGGATCAAATGAGGTGACAATACCTTAGTACAGGTGGAGTAGTAGAAGAAATAGCAGTCGTCGGCGCTCTTCTCCATTGCATTCATTTGGCAGTCAATGGGATTGTAGTGAAGAAGTGGAGGTCCAATGGGTTTGACCACAAATTGTCACCAATTGATCAAAACAAATGATTTATAAGTTTTTCAATCATTTAATCAATTGTTTTTGTCGTCAAAGTCTGCAACGATTTTCGTTCATGAATAACGTTATGAGTAAATGAAGGGACAGTTGGGTTCAGCCACTCATTGCACTCATAAAGGGGTCATAAAGTGATGACTTAATCGTAACGTTGTTTTATATTTGTTGTCATTTGAGTGATATTTGACCACAAATACGATATATCGATGCAATCGATGCCAATACAGTTGGACCTCATTATAGAGAACACTATTGGCATAATTGCAAAGTTGATTATTCTTATGCATTTATGAGCACCGGTAGTTTTATTAGCCAAACTCAGTGCTAATTGTTTTAATGAACTTAATTGACACACAATTACTGATTGATTTATAGGAAAACTCTTTGTGTATAACTATTTGTATGATTATTGTGTGATAGCGATGGCAAACACTTTACAAGAATGAGGCAAAAGTTTTATAGTATTGAAAATGTTTTAAGATTTACAATAAGAATGCAAATTAGATTATAATATGATAGATGACTGCAAATACAAGACAATGGTTTGAATGGTTAGTTTAATTGCAAAAAGTGCTAACATTTGAGAACTAATGGTGATTGATCCGGGAATGGTGTGCTTGAGTGAAGGCCTGTACCCTAAACTGTGGCCAAAAGAGTTTGTTGAGGAATATTCCTGA